CACATAACTTGTTTCCAGTGACGGTGTACAGATTGGGTGACTGAGTGTGTTGTACGTTGCGTGTAGCGGTAGGTTGCGTAGCAGATGGCAAACAATAGTTTGAAGTATTGCTGAAGTAAGTACTGCGTTGTTCCAATGTTATACATACAGTTCACTAGATTGGATTGGATTATGTGAACCTGGGTTAAGAACAATTTCGAGCAAGGGCGAAACGAAACCCGGCCCCTATCTGTTAGAATGCAAATGAGTTTAGTCAACACACGTGTGGGGTCCTGTATGGTAATAATTGTAACAATTAGACAATAGATACTGTAACGTGTGCCGTATATAGGTTCTTTCACACCTGACAAAAATCAAGGTAACGCAGGGTTTTCTGGTTTCAGGGGCGTCTTCTGCCATTTATTTAACCAAGAACACACTTAGCCTTCATCTTTCCAAACACGAACTGTCATGTCCTTAGCAACGCCGCCCAAACAAAGAAAACAAACCTACTACGCCGGTGCCGCAGGCTACAGGTCAAGGGGGCTAACCAGCAGGGGCTCCACTGCAAGGCTCCATCGTGGTTCCACGCTGGTGGCCTTTACCGGTCGGTCGGTGCTAACGCTACACCACCCCCCTCAAGGACTCGTGTTCGTCCCCGAACAAGGCAGCAAGCGTCAGCAACTAGTCTGGGAGAACTCTGGAGTCCGACAGTCCTTTCACAAAGAGAATAGAGAACAACCAATGGTCTCCATACATCTATTTCTAACAATTTAAAATGGACACACCCCCCCCCAAAAAAAACGAGTTAGTGGTTTGGACTTAATGATGAGGTGTTGGCTGTCTCTGCACCTCTTTGCGTCGGAGCAGTTCCTCCCAGAATCGGCGAGGTACATTCTCTAGGTAGCGTGGGGGTGGGGGCGCCCCAGGAGGCATTAGTCCCCCCATGGACGGCTGGGCAGATGCAGACTGATCGTGGAAGTACTGCCCGTACTGTTGCCATGGTACTTCGCCCAGGTACTTCGTAGGTGTGGCTAACTCGTGTCCGCCACAGCCGGTGTTCGTCAGCGTCAACCCCAGTGTGCGAGGACTCCATCATCCACTCGTCCCTCGGGTGTTCGCACAGTGGTACTCCCATGTGAGTGTTGGCGTCTCTTGTTGAACTGTGCAGTCGAACCAAGGGGGCGGTGCCCAACTGGACCCGGGTGCCATCTGGCAGGTTAAGGCTTCATACTTTTGCCCTTAGACAAGATCCATGCCATAATCGCATTCTTCATATTTCAACGTGGAGGGCGCTGTTTAATAAAATGTGTCAAAATCTTGAAGAGAACAGGTGGCATCGTTGGAAATAGCCCGGGATTGGAAGAATTGAAATTATAATATGACTTGGGATCGATGGCTTCTGATGGCGTTGTCGAAGACCCCAATATCGTAACAACCTGTTCAACTTCTGCTGCAGTCCCAATGTTCACGACATGGACTTCTCCCGCATCAGTGACACCCTTGCAGTCTTCTGGGCTTATTCGATGTTCTTTTTAGTCCCGAATGAATGGTCGTGGAAATCATTGCTGAAAGTTACTATCGGTGGACACTTTTGGCTAGAGTCTGTAGCAAAGTTTGAAGGGAGACCAGCCAAAAAGACAATCACGAATCTCAAGGGAAAGTAATTGACAAATAAACTGAAGTTTCACTGGAATCTCCTGACGGCCCCCTTGAATGGCGATAAGCACTACTTTGGGCTTTCTACGGAGTGACTGAGGGGAACGCGCGATAGCTAGTACAGTAGCCGTTACCCCCACTTAAGGAGGCCACTGCAAATTCCTAGTGATGACGTTACCACTGTCCCTGGATTGTGTATTCAGTCATTCGCGAAAGTTTAGGACCAACCATACAAAATGAATCAACCTTGTAGAAAAATCGACCTTAATCCAATCAATCATAGTGAACACGACAGAGGGCGCTCGGCACAGGCGCGGGATACGATTATGGCGCTCTGCCCAGTGACAAGGGCGGATGTGTGGGTACGTGTACCTGTGTGTTTGGCCTAAGCGATCGAGGCGCATACGCTCCGCCTTGTGTATCCAGTTCGTAAGTGACTTTTTACAAAGTCAAACGAGCTAAGATTTGCAAACTCTCGTTGGACAATTCCTGAAGGTGCGCGTTAACTTCCAGTTCCATGGTTCCATGTAAACGGCGACCAGTGCATGTAACACTATGTGCAGTTCACGTGTTCCGTGGGCGTTGTTTAAAGTGAAGTGACGTCACCCTTACGAACTGGATAGGGCGATTGGTTTGCAGAAGTCACCGCTTGGTCACTTGGTCAGCGGCTTGCGAGGCAATATAAGGCGAGACAGGACTATGTCACAGCAGAACCTTGCATTTGGTTAATTCCTGCTGTAGAAAACCCTGAACTATAGTTTAGGCAGAGCAAGCAACTGAGCGGGGGTGTAGGTAGGACCCCCGTACATTGGGTCGTTAGCGTGTGTAGTTCCTACTCTCAAGTGGTGTGTGTGTCGTTGGGTGGGGGGCTTGGTAGGTCGAGGGGTTGTTTTGTGGTGCGGTAAGGGTTCCTTATGGGAGCTACGGGTCAATTAAAGAACACCACAAGTTGTGAGTGGCGTAACCCTGAGATAGCCTTTTCGACTAGTAATTGTGGGGCTTACTGCTTAGGGCAAAGTCTAGTCACGGTCCTCCAATTAAGAGCGCCCTCTACTACCCGGTGTATTGTTGTGTGGAAGACTAGCTGAAGTAGCATTGATGAATAAACCAGCAACTATTTTGTTGTTGTATATAAGTCAGGCGTTCAATGGTCGTTACCTCGAGCCACAAGTGGTCTTGTTTTGTGAGTCACGTGTTACTTTAGGTACGTCAAGAGGCACCAGGCCAATCACATCAGACTTGCCGCTGCCCAACATCTCTGTCAACAGAGTTTTAAACCGGGCCGGCATATTTCCGTCCCAACAGACTCGACCTTCCGGTACGTGCCGTCCGTCGCCACGCCTTGAGGAGGAGGGCGCCCTCGCCTTCGTCGGAGGGGCGTGACGTCACAAAAGCGACTTAACATCTTGGACGCACAGCTATTTGACTGCACGTCTAATAATTAGTGTGCCCGTTTAGTTTCTGGTCACTTCCTAAATGCAAAGTGGTATGCTGGAAATGAGAGGGTGGCAGTAGTCCACGGAGATTTCCTTTTGCCTAGCTTCAACAAATGCACTAATATTTGATGGCACGTTGTCAGCAAGCCCATCCTCACAATCTCCCAAAAAAATGTCTATGGAACTGAGTTCAGAACTGCTCCTGGGCTAGCCTATAACTTTGACTTTGTTCTTGGTCAAGACTGAGGCCCCGTCGATTCATTTTAAAATAAAACTTTCATCGAATGTTCTACATGCCAGGACTCATTCGTGCTTCCTGGCAAAGCTTAGCCTCTACACGTCCATTGCCGTAGTCCGAAGGGGATTTACAGGCAGGTTTTAGCCAGTAGTCATTGCTCAAACGGCGAGCAATAGGGCTTACACTCACATTTGCCTTCGTATGATGCAGATAGAGCTGCTTATATCTTTCGACAACTTGGGATCGATCCTTCAAAACAATTCTTTGCATTTCATGGTCATTGAGGGATTTTTCTTTGGACGACTGCCTCTCTTCTAGTTAGAATATGAGTCGTCTTTTTGAAATGTTGAAATGGCATTGTGCATAGCAGTCTTGCTGCAACCAATTCCCTTGCTAAGTTGAAGTTCCGAGTAGCTCTCTTGATGGTCTCTCGAACCTGGCTCAGAGCGGAGTTTTACGCATGCTGCATTACAGTCACAATTCCACACTAGACCTGCCTTGAAAAAAGATTCTTTCAAATGGGCTCATAGAACTGCGTTGATGTATTGACCACTGTAAAAAATCAATGTTTCGTACTCCAACGGAAGGTTGCAGAAAACCCTTTTTCTTCACTGGCTCTGTGTCGCTAACCTCATCCTCCTCACTGTCATTTATGCCCACGTCACTGACATTATCGTCGTCGTCATTTCTCTTCCCTCAAGATAAACACCGATGCAGCTAGAACGTTGTCTGACTGACACAGTTATTTGCTCACTTTACAATGATATATATATGAGATATAATTCGGCAGTCCAATTTGTGTGATTTTTCAAAACAATGCATACTATATATAAACATTGAGAGAATTTTGGTGAAATCTCAAGGAAAACATTTTCTTTATAATGTTTGATGTTCAATATACCAGTAACTGTTCGGATAGACAAGTTGCGTGTCTGGCTTGTGCCTGTCACTATGTCAAGGACAATCACAATAGAAGTAATCAAACGGGCTGTGTGTCTCTGGTGTTCTTTGATTTCTCTCTCTTTTTTTCTTCTTTTTTTTAACTCATGAATATATACTTGTGTCTACACAACTGAATGTGGGGAGACAGGTCTTTTGACCACAGTGATTTTATTACTTTTGTCTTTCCTGTGCCCATCCCTTTGCGATGTACGTTGTTGGCATGAATAAAATGATAATAATATTTTCCAAATAGCGCCTTCTAGCAACTGTGGTGAACTAGAGTGCAACCTCGTTTCCATGAATACGATATTGCCGCGCCATATTTGTTTGCATCCATGCCCTTGGTGATTTTTGAAGGAACGCGTACCGGTTCGCAGCCTATCGGGTCGAAATTTACTAAAGTAACCCTATGCCTAAAAGCGCACTATAAGCAAACCAGTACGGCGAGAGTGAGACAAGTCGTTAAAGCTAAAGCCTTTGGAACCACAATCCCTGACGTTTTTGGGGACAATACTTAACAAAATGCTTGGCATTTGTGAAGTTGCATGTGACTCGATCTAATCGATAGATGGGCCTAATTAATAGTATGTCCTAAACGGTGCAAGCAGATGGAGTTCATTTTAAACCATTAAAATTGGCCATATTTAGAACTAGGTTGGTTGTTAAAAGACTGGCTAAACATTTTATTTATCCATAAATAACTAAAAAGACTCTTAAATAAGTTTATATCAATTTTCAGGAGAAGAAAGGTTTTCCTCAATAAGTTTAAGTAAATAACACTATTAGCATTCACTGATGATTAAATATTTTCCGAAGGCCTAACTGACAGGAAACTCACCAGTTGAATGAAACAGAACTTTTTACATACACTTGAAAAAAAGTCAGCCATTGGTCGAATGATTAACCTTCTTTATTTGCTGCATTTTAAATAAAACCTTCCTGGAATCTCTTTCAAAATGAGTTAATGTCGTTGGTACCAGTCACCATGGTTTCGTATAAAAGATGTCCATGCAAGCTTGGAACCAATATTAAAGTATTTGATGCTGAAGATAGACGGCAAATTCCGCGCACAATGTTGAGACTCAAGTGACCCTGCGAGCGTGTGGCATCTGATACGTTTTAGGCCTGCAATATTATCCCAGACCACCTGCCCGTTTATCAAATTTCTTCTTTCTGTTCACTTTCAAATGTACTCAGGTAATTTAGACTCTTGTTTTAGCAAACTTAACACGTTTTGCGTAGACAGTTTAGCAGTCAAACGTGATGTTTATATAGGAATTCGATAGAATTGTTTATAATTACTTTTCAGACGCGGTAACAAGGCCTGCCCTACATTGTGCTTTGTTTATACGCACATTATACCTATTGTTGTCTCAGTCAGTATTTACAAAACACATACTAAAAACAGTAATAATTGTGAAATCTATCATCTCATCATTCCAAAACAAAATGACTAAGTGCAGGCGCACTGCAGTCGTTAGCCTAGCGTTAGAGTTGATACGTCCAAATTTTGAAGATACTGATGGAGTCCCTCGATGCAGGTGCTTACCAAATATCTGAGATACCTGTCCACCCTGTTCTCATTCTATTTGAATTGCGTATGCTTTGTTGTCACCATTCTATTTTTTACGAATAATGAAACCAAAACAGCACAATTAGTATTCGGGAGATGATAAATACCAGTTCAGTCATGCAAAACGAAAGACACATCGGAAAACAAACTGAAGTGAAAACAGAGTTGGTTTGATTGTAACAAGCTTTGCTGAGATGTAAACGATGACTGACGTTTAATGAAATAAATGACAAGCTAAGAGATCGTTGATCTTTTGTTATTGAACACAGTCAACCGGACTTCATCATACATAATATGCTCGTTTACTTATAATTTTTTTTATGCATTGCACTTTACCTTAACGTTTAATTCCAACGCTTCTTCTTCCGTCACTAAAATGTCAAATACTTCCATTTACAATCAAATACAAAAACTGTGTTACTCGACTGAATCAAAAGACGTAACGGTTCAAAGTGATTAAAGAGCCCTGCGTGACTTTCAGGCATAGTTCTTTATGAACATGGATGTGCTCTGTATAATACTGGGAGAAACCAAATTCTAAACGGAATGTTTCATGTTGGGTGAAATACTTTCAAAAACATAGAGTTTGTCGGTTCTTTTTTCCTACAGATAATAATTATAATTGTCGCTAAAAACTAGGGACCTGCGCTCGTATAAAGAAATAGTCAGTTTTAACATTTCTACGAAGAATACCGAATCGGCTAGCGGGATAAGAAATGCAATTATGTGTACAGCATTATTTAAAACATCCAAAGTGCAATCACATGCATTGCAGATGCACTTAAAGATATCCTTAAAGATGTCCTTACAGTTATTATACTTTGATGGCTGTTATCGATAACGTCCTTGCGAAGACGATATCCTCACGCAACAGCAATTAGCGGCTTAGTTTTGGAAGTGAAGGTGAGTCAGATTCGTTGAGTGAGACGTCTGTTTCTTTTGGTCTGTCAGTGGTTTCCACTCTGGCCAATTTAATAGTGAATGGTGGGCATCTTGCAGATAAACACGTACTCTCTGGAGCATGGGACGACCTCCCAATACTGGCTTGATGGACCAGAGAGCAAACCTGCACAGCTCTCGTCTCTGTTCGTGTTATTTGGTTCGCCGTCCTTCCAGTTAGTGTAGGAGAGACCCGAGCCGTCCAGCCAAACGAAATTCCCCTCTTCCTGCCTGTCAGTCAGGCCCATATAGACGGTATCAAAGGCGGTACCACAGGTGGACTGCCACATGTTGTACATCAGGTTATCTTCCGCTACATTGGTGATGGACACCAGGTGTCCTTGCCCGACGTGAGTAAAGAACTGCTGGCAGTGTTTGTCAGCTTCTGCAAAGGTCTTGGGAGTCCCAAAGAAACGGAAACAGTGACTATCGTAGAGGGTCCACAGCGGAGGACAATGCTGGCAGTGTATTTCAAGAAATTTCTGGGCAAAGGTGACAGTGAGACTGGTTAGGAACACCACCGACACGACTCGCAGGAAACCCATATTGGACACCAACGACACGATTTACAGGAAACCCACATTGGCAGTGACGAGCAATTTTATATCCGGCGAGGATACTATGGCATTGCAATTCTGGTTCATCGAATATTGCGTGGCTTAATATAATTGGCTAATGCTTTCAGTGTTGTGTAACTATGACCCTGAGCAGAAGCACCCCCTCATTGGTTGAGAGGAGACGTATTGGTCGGGAGAGCTCGTTTTTGTTGGTAGCGCGTGCGAATTTCATATTTGTTTATGAACCAACATAATCCTCCCGTGGCTTTCAGCGCTACGGCTAGGTCTGTGTGCAAAAAAGACATTACTACTGTGAACGCTCCCTTACTCTTACAATTTCCCTTACTTTTTTTTTTCTTTGTGCTCGGGTTTAAAATTGCCCTCTTAGGATTTGGACACTGTTTACCTGCCCTGGACCCTGCCCTGAACATCCATTATTAAATACATATATTCATATACAATTAGACAAGGATAAACAGAAACTTTGATTTGTTCTCGAGCTTTGATAGCTTAGCCAAAGTTTATTTAATGGATAGCAGAGAGTAGACATTATACATGTTTATTATGTGTTATATTTTTGTGAACTCGTGAGGTATGCAAGTGCAGGTATTAAGACACCCCCCCTTCTCTCCGACTTTCCAATTTCTGCAGCCCTGCAATTTTAGAGTTTGGATCATTTCCCATGGCTGTGTTATGCGTATAATGTTGGATTCTTTTCACTCGATCCCGGCCTGCATGAGCGAACACTGAATCTGCTGTTGAAAATTAAACCCTAAAACATGTCAA